TTCTCGGCGTTCTCGTTCTCGGACTCGTACTCGGATTCGTACTCGTCGCCGAGTCGTGGTGCCGGTGGTGGAATCGCCCAACTTCCCGCGGCCCGCAGTCCGTGCGACTGCTGGCGGAGGCGGAGGCGGAGGCGGAGGCGGCGGTGGCGGTGGTGGCGGCGGCGGCAGAGGGGGAGGCGGCGGCGGCGGCGGCGGCTGCGGCGGCTGCGGCGGCGGCGGCGGCGGCGGCGGCGGCGGCGGCGGCGGAGGCGGAGGCGGAGGCGGAGGAGGCGGCGGCGGCCGTGGAGGCGGCGGCGGCGGCGGCCGCGGCGGGTGCGGCCAGGGCATCGGAGGCTACGGAGGCAACGGAGGCAACGGCAGCGTTTCACCAAACACGGATGGATGCAATGAGCTATTACATCGCAACGGCGCTTGAGGCACAGGAGGCAGCGGCGGCAGCGAGGGCAACGTCAGCGTTTCACCGAAGACGGATGGAAGCAACGGCGGCGGAGGCAGCGGAGGCAGCGGCGGCGGCGGCGGCGGCGGAGGCAGTGACGCCGGCGGCGGCGGCGGCGGCGGCGGCGGCGGCGGCGGCGGCGGCGGCGGCGGCGGCGGCGGAGGCGGCGGAGGCGGCGGAGGCGGAGGCGGGCTGCTTAGCAGCATCGAAGCGGCTCAACGAGGCTCGCGATGTGCTCAAAGACCCGTTCCGCCGCGCCGAGCATGTCGATGAGATTGAGCGCGCGCGCGGTGCTGCTCTTAAGGGCCCGTGGGAAAAGGACGCCCTTCAAGAGCTGGGGAAGGTGCAGGCACGACGGGATGCACACCGGATGGGGGCGGAGGCCAAGGCAGCGGCGGCATTGCCGCTGCAGGCAGGCAGCGTCGATCTGTCGGGATTCGACCTTGGCGACGATGGCGAGATGGTGGGAACGGTTGTCGCGTGGATGGAGTCGGCGCCGTCGGCGCTGACGTCGCTGACGCTCGACTGGGGCAAGGCGAGCGGCCGTGTGCGGGAGGCGGTGCTCGACGTGGTGCGGACGACGTGCACGCTCGTCGCGCTGAGCGTGGGCGAGGAGGGGGCGATGATGCTCAACCCGCTGCAGCTCAACGGGCGCGAGGCGGTGCCGTCGCTCGATTTGTCGAGCAGGAAACTCGGACCCGGATCGGCTGCCGTCATTGCGGCGGGTGTTTCCGTCAATGAGGTGCTGGACACCCTCAACCTCTACCGCAACAACATCCGCGCCGAGGGCGCCGCCGCAATCGCCGAGGCGCTGCGCGGCAACGAGGTGCTGACCAAGCTGAATCTCGACCGCTGCGAGCTCGACCTGCCAAAGCTGCGCGGCACCGACCCAGTGACATCCCTAGACCTCTCTGGCTACCGACCCAGTGACATCCCTAGAGAGGGCCTCGGAACCGCCTCGGCCATCGTGATCGCGTCGCTGATTGCGGGCAATGCGGTGCTGACCAAGCTGAATCTCGACGGTCACGAGCTCGACCTGCCAAAGCTGCGCGGCACCGACCCAGTGACATCCCTAGACCTCTCTGGCTACCGACCCAGTGACATCCCTAGAGAGGGCCTCGGAACCGCCTCGGCCATCGTGATCGCGTCGCTGATTGCGGGCAATGCGGTGCTGACCAAGCTGAATCTCGACGGTCACGAGCTCGACCTGCCAAAGCTTCGCGGCACCGACCCGGTCACATTCCTCGACCTCACGGACAAGCGCCTCGGCCCCGCCTCGGCCGCCGTGATCGCGTCGCTGATTGCGGGCAATGGGGTGCTGGAATCCCTCAACCTCTACGGCAACAACATCCGCGACGAGGGCGCGGCCGCGATCGCCGAGGCGCTGCGCGGCAACGCCGTGCTGACCGCCTTGAACGTGGGCTTCAACAGCATCGGCCCCACCGGCGCGACCGCAATCGCCGAGGCGCTGCGGGGCAACGCGGTGCTGGTTTCCTTGGATGTGAGCTACAACCGCCTCACCGAGGAGGCGGCCCTCAGCATCGTGCGCGTCGAGCGGCAGCGCAAAAAGCTGACCTCGCTGGGCTTGGCTCGCTGCAGCATTGGCCCGACTGGCGCCGCAGAGATCGCCGAGTACGTGTCGGGCAGCGCGGTGCTGGTTTCCTTGGATGTGAGCTACAACCGCCTCACCGAGGAGGCGGCCCTCAGCATCGTGCGCGTCGAGCGGCAGCGCAAAAAGCTGACCTCGCTGGGCTTGGCTCGCTGCAGCATTGGCCCGACTGGCGCCGCAGAGATCGCCGAGTACGTGTCGGGCAGCGCGGTGCTGACCAAGCTGAATCTCGACAGTCACGAGCTCGACCTGCCAAAGCTTCGCGGCACCGACCCGGTCGAGTCCCTCGACCTCACGGACAAGCGCCTCGGCCCCGCCTCGGCCGCCGTGATCGCGTCGCTGATTGCGGGCAATGGGGTGCTGCGACCTATCGAGGAAGGGGACCTCGCTCGGACCCGCCTCGGCCATCGTGATCGCGTCGCTGATTGCGGGCAATCCGGTGCTGAAAACACTCAACCTTGACGGCCACGAGCTCGACCTGCCAAAGCTGCGCGGCACCGACCCGGTCACATTCCTCGACCTATCGAGGAAGGGGTCCTCGCTCGGACCCGCCTCGGCCATCGTGATCGCGTCGCTGATTGCGGGCAACGCGGTGCTGAAAACCCTCCACATCGGCGACAGCAAGATCGACGACGAGGGCGCCGCTGCGATTGCCGAGGCGCTATGTGGCAATAAGGTGCTGACCACCCTCGACATCTCCGACAACCGCATCGGCCCCGAGGGCGGCAAGGCGATCGCAGAGGCGCTGCGCGGCAACGGGGTGCTGACCGAGCTTAGCCTCGCCCGCAACGGCATCGACGACGCGGGCGCCGTGGCACTGGCCTCCGCTCTGCCCGTCAACGCGGTGCTGACCTCCTTGGACGTGGGCCACAATAGACTCACCGAGGAGGCGGCCCTCAGCATTGTGCGAGTCGAGCGGCAGCGCAACAAGCTGACCTCGCTCTCCTTGGGTGCCTGCGGCATCGGCCCGACGGGCGCCGCAGAACTCGCCGAGTACGTGTCGGGCAGCGGGGTGCTGACGAGCATCGACCTCACCCTCTGCGGGATTGGCGACGAGGGCGCCAAGGCGATCGGCGGCGCTCTCGCAGTCAACGGGGTGCTGACCAACCTCGTGCTCATGAGCAACAACATCGGCGACGAGGGCGCCGCCGCGCTGGCCTCCGCTCTTCGCGTCAACGGGGTGCTGAAAACGCTCGACCTCTACTTCAACAACATCGGGGACGAGGGCGCCATGGCGATCGGCGAGGCGCTGCGCGGCAACGCGGTCTTGACCTTCCTCGACCTCCGCCTAAACTCCAAATTGGGCGATGAGGGGAAGAAAGCGATTCGCGATGCGGTTAGCGGGCGTGAAGGGTTCAAGATCCACTTGGGTTGGACATTTGTGTGAAGCATGTCGCACGACATCCACAAGCTCGAGATATAGTTATAAAAGTAATCTTCTTGTTCGATGCTGCACAGATGGAGCGACGCCGCGGGAAGTGGCAGCTGCCAGGGAAGAGGTAGGGCACGCTCGAGAGGACCACCGCACCGCCTGCGCGGCATCACAGTGACCGGCGTGTGAGCAGTTGCGGCGGGGCAGTGAGTGCCACGTCGTTTGCCACGGATGGCATGCGCGGGACAGCATGCGCAGCTGTGCCAGCTCCACTCGCCACCGGCTGGAGTCGCGACGAGGACATCTTGCGACGGCGCCCCGTGCTCTCGTTGTGTAGCACAGCAACGGTGGCACCGCGCTGAGCCTCGCCGCCGCGAACGGCCACGAGAAGCTGGTCGAGCTGGCATTGCGGCACGGCGCGGAGATCAAGCTGCAGGACAACGATGGCGACACCGCTCTGATGCTCGCCGCTGACAACGGCCATCCCGCCGCCCTTCTCTGCCTGCTGCGGGCGGGCGCAGACATGACGCTGCGCTCTAAGGATGGCAAGACCGCGCTGCACTGTGTGCCAAGGAGGAGGGCCACGCCGAGTGCATGCGCGCCCTCAGAGAGCATGCGGCGGCCAAGGCGGCGACCGAGAAGGCGGCGAAGGAGGCGGCGTGGGCTCTGCGTGGGCTGCGGGGGCGGCGGAGCGGGCGACACAGAGGGCAGCGGAGGAGAAGGAGGCGGCCCGGCACGCCGAGGAGCTGCTGGCGGAGGTCGAAGCGGAGAAGCGGGCCAAGGGCAAGAAGGGCAAGAAGAAGAAGAAGAAGAAGAAGAAGAAGAAGAAGAAGAAGAAGAAGAAGAAGAAGAAGAAGAAGAAGAAGAAGAAGAAGAAGAAGAAGAAGAAGAAGAAGAAGAAGAAGAAGCGCGGCGGGCCGGGCGGGGCTGGGCCGTCGCAGGAAACGGAGGAGCCGGCGGAGGCGGCGGCGACAGCCAAGCCTGCGCCGTTGGACAGGGAGGGGCTGCTCCGGCTTCTCGCGGAGCTCCACGAGGACAGGATCCGGTTCGGCATCACGGCGGAGACGTCGATCGAGGGGCTGGCGGAGGCGCTGGGAGAGACCGAGGCGGCGGGCGAGGGCAGGCGAGCGAGGAGGAGGGCGACGAGGAGACGGCGGAGGCGGCTGAGGAGGAGGGCGAGGAGGAGGGCGAGGAGGCGGCAGCGGAGGCGGCAGCGGAGGCGTGCCGGCAGGCTGAGGCGGAGGCTGCGGCTGTGGCAGCGGCAGAGGAGGAGGAGGCGGCCGCAGCGGAGGAGGAGGCGGCCGAGACGGCAGTAGCGGCGGCCGAGGCGGCAGCGGCGGCGGCAGAGGCGGCGCTCTCGCCGCAGCCAAGGCGAGGCGCGCGTCAGTTGCCGCTGCGAGGGCCAGGGCGCGGGAGGCGGCCTAGCCCGCGCGCAAGGACAGCTGGCGCAGTGGCAGCCATGGGGAAGGGTCTCTCGTACTCTGGGGCGCGTTCTCTTGTGAACGATCGTGGCTGTGGGCTGGGCTCGGCGCCGCGCGGGCGCGCGTGCAGTCCGTCGAGGTCTCGCCGGGGAGCTGCCCACACAGCGGTACGAAGGGTGGGCGGTGGCGTGAGAAAGTGGCGTAGCCAGTGCCATTGGTGTCTGAGAGCAGAGTGCGAGCATCTCTCAGACACCAGAGTCCGCAGAGGGTGGGAGTGCTGCACTTGCTGCTGCGCCCGGTGGGGCAAGCAGGGTTAAGTCTTCGCCTGCGGTGGCTTTACTGGCGACTTCGCCTTTGCACCGCACTCACGGCAGGCCGCGTCCAGCCCCTGCAGCCTCAAGAAGGCTTGCCGGCGGTCCAGTCGCCATCTCGAGTGACAAGTTATCTAGCATCACGGCTAGCGCCAACGCACGTCTGGGAGCGGATTTGACCGAGCGCAAGCTTGACGTATTCCGGCCTGAGGCAGGTTCGGCCGCTTTCGCTCAGTCGTCCTAGAGCGGCAAATCAGTGCGCCCAGCTGGATCCTCGGGTGTCGGTGTGGGTGCCGGGTCCTCGCTCGTCTGTTGCATGCAATACGCTCCGCCGAGCAGCTACCGGCGGCCCACCGGCCACACGTGACGACGACCACGCTGACAAGCGGCTTGTCCGGCGAGCCGGTGGTGAGCTCCATGGCCGCCGCGGGCAGCCCGCCCGCCAGGGACGCCAGCACGAGGGATAGGACTCGCTGCATTGGAGACTGAAGGCAAATTCGCGTGACAGGTTCGGAAGGCGTTTTCCTGCCGCGCTTAGAGGTTCCTCTTTTCCGCGCCCCCCCCCGCAAGGCGCGCGATACACGCTTATCTTGAACGTACGAGTTTGAGCTCGCAGACAGCTCAACCCCTCCGGAAGGCGACGTGCCTGAAGAGCCCCGACGGCATCTTCTGGGGGACCAACGGCGCCAAGATGTCGGCGTAAGCGAGGTGCTGTTGCTCGAGGCCGGGTTCGGGCCAGCTGGTTCGATCCCGTTCCTTTTTGTGCGTGTGTGTGCGTGTGCGTGTGTGTGTGTGTGTGTGTGTGTGTGTGTGTGTGTGTGTGTGTGTGTGTGTGCGTGTGTGTGTGTGTGCGTGTGAGGGATTCTGATGCCATGACCCTGCTTCCGAGAGAGAGAGAGAATTCTTGATACGAAACCACGACGACACACACCAGTCGACTCGCATCGGTTGCCTCCATGAACGGCGGAGCTATTCTCGCGCCCACACCACACCTGGCTCCAACGTGGACACGCCCATAGCTGGGGACACTACTAGGTCACGCATGGCATCACAGAAGTTTTATCTCTGGGCCCCGAAAGGCATCTCTAGCAGTGTCGTTACGCATGCCCCCTCCCCTCCTGGGCGCATGCGCCTCACGTCTCGCCAGAGCATAAGCCCTTGGCGTGTGGCGAGACGAGTTTTTCGCCATCGCAGCGAGCAGCAACCCGCCCGCCGCAAACAGCCGGAGGCCTCGCCGCGGCACTGGCTGCGCCGCGGTCCCGCACCCGTCGACGCAGCTCCCCCCGCGGAAGACCGCGCGTAGCAACGTCTTGACGATCGAGATGAGCGTGCCTGAAGCTCGCCCACCTACTGCCCCTGAGAGTTGGTTATTGAGTGGGATCAGCTCCCCCCCTTGGGATCGAAGCCGCCACAACCTCACACCCAACATCCCAGGCGGGATCAGAAGGGGACTCCACACCGGACACCGCCCGGGCACAGCCCCCCTACCCGTCGGATCGCACAGAGGGCCCCCTCGGAGCAGCCCACACACAATCTCGCATCGGCAGATTGAGTGCCTGAGTCAGGCAGACAGCACAGACAAGAGGAGAGAGAGGAGAGAGAGAGATAGAGAGAGGAGAGAGGAGAGGGTGAGGGTGTGAACACACGTGAGGAGTGGGGGAGGGTGTCTGTGGTGGGCTGTAGTCCTACTACGTGGTTAGAACCACGCGCCCCTCAGGAGCTTAAGGTAGAGCTGAGCGTCCCAGACGCCTCGGTGCCTCCCACCGGCGTGAGACCATCCGGATCAGCCCAGTACGGCGAACGGTCCCCGCGATGGCCCACGGTCCGCCGTCACCTGGTTGAGCCCCCTGCCTCCCGGTTGACCCCCCGGTCCCCGTACTCGACCATGAAACAAACTCAAAGTCCACCACAGCCACCAGCCTCCACCTCCACCCGCGAGCCGCCACCGCTGCCGCCCGCGACGCCGCCCGCCGCGTCAGATAGCCGCGACGCGCGCATCGAGTCGCGTCGGAGAGCCGCGCCGCACCAGCAGCAGCACCTGCACCACCAGCAGCAGCAGCAGCAGCAGCACCACCACCACCACCACCTGAGAGAGAAGCGCACCTGCCCGACGCCGCCCGCCGCGTCAGACGCTCGCGACGCGCGCGTCGAGCCCAGTCGCACAGCCGCGCCGCGCCAGCAGCAGCATCGGCACCAGCAGCAGCAGCACCACCACCACCAGCAGCAACAGAGACAGTCAGTGCAGGCGCAGAGGCGCTCGCAGAGCGGCGCTCAGCGCCGCGCACGCCCCGCCGCGGACCGTCGGACGAGCGCACCGTACGTCGGCGGCGAGCCGCGTCGCCAGCCGTCTCGCGAGAGAGCGGCGCCTCCGCGTGCGCGCAGCAGCCGCCGCGGCAGAGGCGAGCCGCGGCGACGTCCGCACTAACGGATAACGGCCATTGGCGGTTTTTGATCTCTCTCTCTCTCTCTCTCTCTCTCTCCCCTGCTTCCCTGTCTGGCTCCCCGACTCTCATGCACGCGCTGCTGCACAGACCAGAATGCGCGTGTCGGGTTTTGTCGTGTGTGGATCTTTTGTTGTCATTTGTGAGTGGACGTGGCATATGCGATGTCGTCTCGTGTGCAGTGGACGCAGTGCCGGTCAGTCAGTGGGCCTGAGGACCGATGCGAGAAGCAGAATTGAATCGTCGGAAGGCAATTTACGCGGGCAAGGCCAGCTCCGCCTCTGATGTTTGAGTCGTCGTGCACTGTGGATCACTGTGCTGTGTCTCGCTTCCTTTTTACAGTATTTTGGACGAGAGTCGGTCACCGTCGCGTCGGAAATTACAAATTTCACGAGCACCGCTTCTGCGTTCTGGGGGTCCGCTCTTGCCGGCTTTACGTTCTAATTTACGACCCGTAGTACACGTACATGCGTCAAAGGCTTTGGCAGGCCGGCTCCGGCTCGCGGTTTTGGACGGGAGCATTTGCGCGCGAACCCGAACGGGCAACGCAAAACGGCCAACGCCGCGCCATCCGGTGCACATATAACTCAGCCGTCGCGCCAAGCGACGGCTGGGCTGCACGCCCGCGCGGATGCAATCATTCCTCGCCAAGAGAGTCCCGCAGAAAGTAGTCGGCCATCGTAGGGTCGATGTGGCCGCCCATTCTCTCCATGAGCTCCGCGGTCGTGGCCACCTCTTGCGCGCGCTGCAGCTCGTCGAGCGCCGCGTCGGCCGTGGGCGCCTGCTCGAGTGCGGGCCAGGGCGCCGCCGCGAACGCCTCGACAAACGCGACGCAGAAGTGC